GCTCGAACTCACGGACCGCGAGATCGTGACCTGGCTGAAGTCGGACGCTTAACCGACTGCGCCACCCAGGCGCCCCAAAAAACCTTTTTTTAAAATAAAGGAAAATAAAGGTTCACTTTGATGTATAGAAACAGAAACTCAGCCTGTAACAGGAGTCCCAGGCCCCAGGCAACAGTGACTCCTAATCCCAGGCAGCCCCTCCGTGTGGCCAGCCACTCTATGCTTTTCTGGAGCAGAGCTTGATCCACTCCTATTGAAGTCTTTGTATCTAGCGTTGTCCCCAAGTGACCTTGCAAGTAGGTCGAGAGTCTGAACCATTCCGTGAACCACACATGTTCTCAGTTTTTATTAGGCTCTCACATTACCAAATCAGTTGTTTCAACCGCACCATCTCCATTCTCAGTGCCCAGAAGAGGAGAGAATTACCGGATTCGGTCTGCAGGCGTCCTCTCTGGGTCGTCAGGTCATTGATCAGCCGCTGCTGCTCTTCCTCCTTTGACTTCAGCTCACTCACTTGATCCTCCAGCGTGCGGCACATTTTCTCTAGGTTGCCCTGTGAGAAGAAGTAAAAGCAGGAAACAAACATATTTTAATATCATTTTGCTCTTGCTAAAATTTCTTATAAGACAGAAAAGTACTTATTTTGACGTAAAATCAATCAAATTCTTGTATGTGCAATGTGATATGTAAGAATTCTTTTTGTTATGTTATGATTGCTCTGTGAAGTTGAGAATATACTTTGGGATTTTTATTTATTTATTTTTATTTTATTATGAATTTTTTAAAGTTTATTTATTTTTGAGACAGAAAGAGACAGAGCGTGAGCGGGGGAGGGGCAGAGAGAGAGGGAGACACAGAATCCGAAGCAGGTTCCATGCTCTGAGCTGTCAGCACAGAGCCCAATGCGGGGCTGGAACCCACCAGCTGTGAGATCATGACCTGAGCTGAAGTCGGATGCTTAACCAACTGAGCCGCCCAGGCACCCCCTACATTGGGATTTTTAAAGAGCTAACTGTGAAGCTCCATGCACTATTAATATAATAAATTTGAATAAATAAATTAACATAATAAATAATATGCTTTAAATGTAAGATTCTTGTAAGAACTGTATGGTGTATTCTTCTAAAAGCATGTATTCAAATACTTGACTGCCTTTATGTACTATGAAACTTGGCTTATTGGGTGCTTGAGAATATTGGAGACCTGTGTTCTCCAGCTGGAACCTGTGAAAACATAGGTGACCTATGTTCAAAAGCTGGTCCTGTCATTTATTAATGGTGTAATGGGGCCAATGTGCTTAACTTCTTCGAATTTCAGTTTCTTCATATGTTAAATGCAAATAATACAGATACTAGTTTCTTTCTTGCTTACCCTAGATTACTGTAAAAAACAAAGGACATAATGTGTGTAAAGTACCATGTGCAAACTATGCTGCATACATAAAGGATTATTTCATTGATGACAAATTGCCAGGTTCTAATACCTTGGCCTTGGAGACAGTCTCCATGTTACTGGCCAGGTCGTCGATCTCCATCTTCAACTCGCTCTTCTCCTTCTCCAGCTTCTGCTTGACCCTCTGTAGGTTGTCTATCTGCTCCCCCAGCTCAGCCATGCTGTCCGCGTGCTTCTTCCTCAGGGTGGCCGCCGTGGCTTCGTGCTGCAGGGTGGCCTCCTCCAGGTCCCTGCGCATCTTCTGGAACTCGGCCTCCCGCTTCTTGTTCATCTCGATCTGGGCGGAAGTGGCCCCACCAGCTTCTTCCAGCCGCTCGCTGATCTCCTCCAGTTCCCGGGAGAGGTCCGAACGCTGCTTCTCTGCTTTGGCCCGGGAGGCCCTCTCTGCCTCGATTTCCTCCTCTAGCTCCTCGATGCGGGCCTGGGGGTGGTGAAAAGCATGCACTTAGCTTCTCTGTGTGGTAACTGTGCCTCTTTGAGCCAGACTTTTAGAAATACCAACTTACTTGCAGCTCCTTGATCTTCTTCTGCAGCTGAATGCCCAGGGCCTGCTCATCTTCAATCTTGCTTTGCAGATTGCTGATTTCAAACTCTTTCCTTTTTGGAAAGTTGCAAAAAATAACAATTGAGTGTATACCCACCACCAAAAGCAAGTTCATAAACAGTTCTTCCACGCTTACTTTTTGAGCTTCTCATCAAGTTGTTGTTTTTCATTCTCAATGTCCATTATGGACTCCTGGGCCAACTTGAGGTCACCTTCCAGTTTCCTCTTGGCCCTTTCCAGGTCCATGCGGAGTTTCTTTTCTTGCTCCAAGGACCCTTCAAGCTAAATATAAATCATGTTTAGTGTAAAGGAATGCTTAGCTTCCTTTCGAAGAAAATAATTTCTTCAATAATCTTGGACTTACATCATCTACTTGCTGCTCGAGCTTGGTCTTAGCTTTGGTCAGCGTATTGACCTTGTCCTCTTCTGCCTGTAGGTCATCCAGGGTCTGCTGGTGGGCCTCCTGGAGGGCCTTCTTCTCCTTGGTCAGCTTAGCGATGGTTTCGTCCAAGCCTGCCATCTCTTCCGTGAGGTTTTTCACCTTGAAAAATTAAAGAAGAAATGGTATCTGCTCTAAAGCAGGTTTACTAGGCTGGTGGAACCTTGATATGGTAGAACAGAATGTGATTCATACCTTGTTCTCTGTGGCATGCTTCTCCTTTTCAACCTTGGCCAGGGTCAGCTCAAGGTCGTCAATGTCTTTCTTGAGCTCTGAACACTCGTCCTCCAGTTTCCTCTTCTTGGCTGTCAGCTCAGCATTGATCTCCTCCTCATCCTCAGCTCTCTCAGTCACCTCCTTGATCTTGGCCTCCAGCTGGATTTTCGTTTTGATCAGCTGATCGCACCTTTCCTCTGCATCAGCTAAGCCTTCAGCTTCCTAGAGTTGGAAACAAAATCAAAATTGGAAAGAAAGAATGAAATATTTCACAGCAATAACAATGTTAACCTCTGCTGTTGGATCTTTGGCTTTAAAAAAAATATGAACCACCTCCTGTATGCAATCCAGGATACATTGCGAGAAAACCAAAATGAATCAGATTTTATCCTATTCCTTCAGAAGAGTGTATTCTCTGGTAGATTAGAAACCCTCCCCCCCCCCTTGGGGCGCCTGGGTGGTTCAGTTGGTTAAGCGGCCGACTTCGGCTCAGGTCATGATCTCACGGTCCGTGAGTTTGAGCCCCGCGTCGGGCTCTGTGCTGACAGCTCAGAGCCTGGAGCCTGTTTCAGATTCTGTGTCTCCCTCTCTCTGACCCTCCCCCATTCATGCTCTGTCTCTCTCTGTCTCAAAAATAAATAAACGTTAAAAAAAAAAAAAAGATTTAAAAAAAAAGAAAGCCTACCCCCAAAAAGCTAGCATGAATTTAGAAAGCAGTTAGTGACAGAAGAGATCGGAGAAGTTCTATTAGAGGTGGTTTCCTTGAATGAAGTGGCATTTGAGTTGAGCCTTGAGAAGTGGGTAGGATTTGATTTTGTAGAAATCAAGTCATTGGGGGATGGAGCAGGAGGAGAGAAAGCATTCCAGTGAGCATTTCAGGATGCAGCTGCTAATTAACTGGTTCTCTTTGTAGAACTGGAAGATGATCTTGGTTATGATGTTCTACATTCAAGTTAGGGCATAAAGTAATCAAGGAATTCTTGGCAACCTGCTATGTCTCCAATTAAGAGGGTTGGGAGTGAACAGGATATGAGTGACAAATTGATATACACATTCATCAGGAGACTCCATATCAGCCTTTGAATCCACAAAAGAGTAAAATGTGCTGCATGTACCATGTAGTGAATGTCGTGTGTAGGACAAATTCTTAGTAAATCTCTAGGGACAGCAGAAGAGCATTCCGGATAGATCTGAAGGGGGTGGGCACAGAAGACAGCTCTTTTTCCTTCTGTGATCAAGAAGAAAGAGTTATTACACTGCCTACACTTGACAGAAGAAACCAATTTTAATCAACAGGAGAAATATATGATTTCGTGATGAGTAAATTATACCAGACCAATTCAGTTCACTCCGAAATGAAAGGCAGTCTCATAAATTACATTTCAGAGTTGATGGAGGCTGTTCTGAAATGACTGGTGTGGGAGTGAACAGCGAGTAGGCTGGAGGGAGGAGAGGGCTGTGGTGGGGGGGTGGGGGTGAGTGGGCAGAGCATCTTGGGTGCTGACACAGCAATCCAGGTGTGACGTGATGGGGCACAGCCTGTGCAGATGGATTGGAAAGAATGGACCCGAGTTGTGGAGATCAGTGACAAACAAGAATTCCCTAAAATGTGTTGTAGAATTCCTGACATTTGCCAGCTGTATGTATTGTGATTTAAGACTCATGGACATCCATGAGTTTAAGGAGGTTTCAGAGATTAAAAAAAAAAAATCAACTCTGTACATGCTATCCTCCCCTTAATATTTCATTTGTGATAGTTTTATGTTAAAATCACTTCCAAGGACTGTCTTCAAAATTTTTAGAAAAGAAGTAATAAATCCTGTAGTTTGATGAAATTGTGGAGGATGGGTGACAGTGGTCTGTTTTACCTTATTGCTCCTGGTTTGGGATGATGAAAGGATGTATGGACTTTACTGGAACCATCAGAGTGCACTGACCTTCTCCCCCCAGTGAGTGTCCCCACACCGACTACCCAACTCTTTGCACTTGCGGCCACTCGCATCCCGATTGCAGCACCTATAGCGTGACACCACCACTTACAGCCTGAACTTGGAGCTGCAGGTCGTTTTTTTCTTTCAACAGTGACACCATCTTTTCCTCCAGTTCCTTCCTCTTCGCCTCTGACTTGGCGAGTTCGTCTTTGGTTTTCTGAAACTCCTCCTTCATGGTGGCCATCTCCTTCTCGGTCTCCGCGCTCTTGAGGAGGGGCTTGATCTTGAAGAAGAGTTTCATCCAGGGCCAGTGCTTGACGTTCATGAAGGCGCGGATGTTGTACTGGATGCAGAAGAGGGCTTCTCTGAAATGTAATTGGTGCAAGTTAGATACTGTGTGGATGAAGAAATGAGATGAAGTCTTGGCAGTGAGAGCTGGAGGTTCTGTCCCACCCTGTTCCTCGCCTACCTTCAGAAGCACAGATGGAAGAAATTCTACTTTGGGATGATGGTCAAGGACGTGTTAATCACTCACCTCTCTTCATCAGGGCCTCTCCAACTTTTGGTGTACCTAAGAATCATCTGAAGGACTTGTAAAATACTAGTTCCTGAGCCTTATCCCCAGAGATTCAGAGTCAGAGGATCTGAGATGGGGGTCTAAAAATTTGCATTTTTAATAAGTTTGCAAAAGACACCGACAATTCAGGTCTAAGGACCACCCTTTAAGAACTGCTGTATACCAGTGCTTCTCAGGCTTTGCCACTGGAACACCATGAAGAGCAGTTAAGGGGAGCTAGACCCCTGAGGGATGTGGGTGTGAACAAAGGGCTTCATTAAAGAAGAATTTCTGTGAAAATCTCTGGTTTCATGTATTTTAATGTTGTGTGAATTTTGCACTCTACTCTGTAATATTCTCACATTTAAAAAATCTAAATTATTTAAAAAATGAATTACCTTCATATATAAGCAATTAACTGCCCAAATACATACATATATGTGTGTGTATGTGTGTATGTATATATAAATATATATATATAAATATACATATAGTGGTATATATAAATATATATATAAATATATATATATTTATATATATATAAATATAT